CGGTCGTAGGAGGAGGAGTAGGGCCGCGTAGGAGGCTGGAGGAGAGTGACACCGACCGTCTTTTGAGACTGTTTGCTAGCGCTCTGTGCAGGAGGTGGCGGACAAGCTAACTAACGTGGCTGTCCACAACCTTTCGCGCAGGCAGTTGTCAGAGGATGAGCTTGCAGGCCTCGCCCTTGGCCTCAAGTTCATCCCGACACCACCCTCCTTAGACCATGAGCAGCTGAGACAGGCGGTGGAGCAGTTTCAGAGGAGGGTCAGGCTGGCTTGGCAGTTCCGGGACAGTCGCAGACCAGTACCCAGGTTCAGAGTCCCACGTCCCAGCTGGCAGCCGAGTTCGGGACCAGAGGAGGTTGAGGAGTACCTGGCCGGGGTAGCTGACAGGGTAGAGGGTTTGTCGGAGCTGATAGGGGGGCCAGCGCGGCCCAACGTGAGCAGGAGGGTGTTGGGCGCGCTGCAGAGGTTGAGTCGGGACCGGTCCTAGTTATTAAACCGGCCGACAAAAACCTTGGGATTGCGGTGTTAGACAGGGAGTGGTACGAGGGGGAGGCGCTGAGGCAGCTGGGGGACAGGGCGGTTTACGAGCCGGTGGCTATGGTGCCGTTGCAGAGACTTGGGGGCAGTTGTGTCGGTGGGCAGAGCAGGCACGCCTGGCAGGGTTGCCGTCGCAGGGTGTTAGACTTTATCCTGCAGCCACGCACTCCGTGTTTGGAGCGGGCTACCAGAGCTTGGGAGCGGTTTCGGGTGTGCAGATTCTACTTGCTACCGAAGCTGCACAAGACTCCAGTAGCCGGCAGGCCTATCTGCTCGTCCACGCTCTGGGTTTTTGAGCATGCATCGGCAGTCTTAGACCACTACCTCCGCCCTTTACTACGGTTTTCACCCTCGCACCCTTCCAGACTCACTTGCACTTTTGCACCAGCTAGAGGACCTTCGTGTGCCAGCAGAGGCTCTCTTCCTGACCTACGACGTTGAGAGCCTCTACCCATCGATCCCTATCGACGCAGGTATCAGCTGCATCGAGAGGTGGTTGCTTCGTTGGGCAGCACAGGGGAGGATTGCAAGGGGGGTAGCAGACACACTGGTGCAGCTGTTGGGGTTGGTCATGAGGCAGAACCACCTCGAGTTTGGTGGTCGTTTTTGGCGGCAGGTTCGGGGACTGCTATGGGCACGCCTGTAGCAGTGATCTACGCGGTTCTGTTCATGGCTTGGTTAGACGAGAGGTTGCTAGAGACAGAGCCCGAGTTGTCCGCAGCACGTCCTTCTCCACCGCAGGTTCATAGACGACGGGGTGGTGGTTTGGACGGGGACACGGGAGCGGCTGCTGGAGTGGGTGGGGGCGTTTGGTGGGTTGGAGCAGACTATTCGACTGACCCACGAGATCTCCACCTCACAGTTCACCTTGCTGGATATCACGTTCAGCAAGGGAGAAGCTCTGGCAGAGCGACGGCTATCTTGGACACCACGACCTTCCAGAAGCCGCTCACGTGTACCAGTACTTTCCTTTCTCCTCCGCGCACCCCTCTCACTGCAAGAGGGCTTCATCTTGGGTGAGCTGCAGCGGTACATTCTGAGGGAGTCCAGTTCTCGAGGGTTTAGGAGTATCAGGTCGCCTTCTACGCTCGGCTGCGGGCGCGGGGGTACCAGACACTTTCTTGCAGCCGATCTTCAGCAGCAGCTCCTACGCACGACGCCCGGAGCTTCTTGCCAGGTCACGGGCTCGGGGGGAGGGGGGGAGCAGGAGGCGCAGCAGCGGGTTCTCCCTCTTGTTCTCGACTTCCACCCGAGTGTGCAGCAGGTCCCGCTGGGGTAGGTTGCTGGCCTTCCCTCCAGAGGCACCAGCGTTTGAGCAGCTTTCTCACTACAGGGCACCTTTCGTGTCCTACAGGGCACCTCCGTCGCTCCGACAGCTACTCGTAGCGAGCGTCGTTCAGGTGACTAGGGTGCCCCGCTCTCGCCGTCGCCGCACAGCACGTCACTTGTCTTCTGTGGGTGTCGTGCCGTCTCGGTTAGTCGTCTGCCGCCTCCCCAGCCCTTCCTCCTTGTTTCACAGCACGTGCACACGGGTGGGGGCCTTGGAGGCGAGCACCTTTCTCACTTCGCAGCGGCGTGCTGCATTTGGTTGGGGCCGTCGCAGCAGCACCATCCCCCGTCCAGTCTCTTCGTTTTCTCACACAGGCTGGACCCAGGATGCACGACAGCCTCCCGCCTGACTTCTTTGATTTCAGCACACAGGTCAGGCCCTGGGGCAGTGTGAGTGTACCTGCGACTACACTCTGCGTTCGTTGTGGGTTGTATCTGTGGGTTACGCACTTGCACACTTGTACCATTCCCCATCCCAGACCGTTATGAGTACTGGGATGCCTTTCTCCTCTTTGCACGGGACTTGGGTTTGGTAGCATGTGCATTGTACCTTCCCCACCTCTGGCCATATGAGCACAGGGGTGCCTTTCTCCTCTTGCACGTAGTGGGGATTTATGGGATTCGGGGTACCATGACACATGGCACATGTACTTGACACGCCCCCGACCTTTATGAGTACCAGGGGGCACAGCACGGCGAGAGGGTGACTAGCCTCTTTCTAGTTTCGGGGGTTAGCTTGTTAGGTACATGCAGGTCTCCGTCTCACTGTGTAGGGCTGATGAAGGGCTCTTCGACGAGCCTTCACACGCCCCGAACGGAGCACCGAGCGCTGAGTTACGCGCGTTTTAGTGGTACGCTCTCTGGTTTCGCGCGAATCTGGAGAGCGCCGGGCTGGCACCCGAACATGACTGTTTGCATGTTCCGGTTTTCGCCACCCGGACCCGACGGTTACCCTGTATATTATATGTCGGACCATGAGCCCCGTAGGGGCTGGAGGCTGCCGGAACCGTCGGATTCGCCATCTGGCGCCCGGATTGGGAGATATGGGCAGCTGGGTGTAGGCCCTTGGCAGGCTGCACAGTTGGCAGCCTGCAAGGGCGTTTCTTTGCCTAGGTGGCAGGTTAGGCCCACATTGCACTTTGGGGCATTGGGTTGGGTTGGGACAGCTATAAGTAGGGAGCTCTTGCTAGGGTAGATCCTTGTCTTGCTGATGATGCCTTCGTGGCGAAATCGATACGAGACTGCTTCTACCTACACTTGAGGTACTTACTCTATTGCATGTCCCTACACCCCTAGGCTTAGGACTTGTGTTTTTTTCAGCAGTTTGCTTGCCTAGCTAGAAGTTTCTTGCAGTTCTCCTGCATTCCGCTAGGCCATTTTCGTCGTCGTTTTTTCCTGCCGCTTGGGGAGCCTTGTGTTGCCCCCTGGCGGCCCTAGCCTACCCTTAGAGTAGTGCCATCGGCTAGACTTTCAGAGACTCGTGCCCCTCGACTTCTCCCAGTCTAGGCCGTTAGTCTCTCGTTCTACCGATAGGCCGTCACAGCCACTTTCTTCGTTAGCGACTCTAGACTGTCTGGAGCAGCACTGCAGCTCAGTTCTTTGAGCATTCCTATCAAACCCTAAACCTATTGCACTGACGCCGGTGTTGGAGAGTGGCGTAGACGATACAGACTCCTAGTTTTTTCCGTTTCGTTAGTCTTTTAGACGTCACCATGAGTGGGCTCCGAGTTCCTGCAGCGGCAGGCACTGGGGGAGGAGCCGGTGTCGGCAGAGCAGGAGACCAGGGGGGATCAGCGGCTGCGGCTATGGAGACTAGTGCACCAGCTACTGTCGCTGATATTACTGAGCAGTTTCGGCGTACTCGTAGACGGACCGAGCGGGACGAGGAGGACAGACGGACGGAGTTGGCGCTGGAGCAGCAGGCCGAGTGGCAGCGCAGCATACAGCAGCAGCTTCGTCTCAGGAATATTGAGGGGGATATCCTGCGAGACCGGTCCGTGATAGACAGCTGGGTTAGGATGATCTCTCGTGACAGGGAGCAGTTGGCACAGGAGGCAGCTTCCATTCGCGAGCAGCTGAGACAGGAGGCTGAGACCTTGGCACAGCAGCGGCAGCAGCGACCACGGCTTGGGCTACCGTCGTCGCAGCAGGAGCCACAGCAGCAGGGCCAGCAGCAGCAGCAGGGGCAACAGCAGGCCCAGCAGCAGCAGGGTCAGCAGCGGCAGGGTCAGCAGCAGTCTCAGCAGCAGCAGCCGCAGCAGCAGCAGCAGCCGACAGCCACCGGTGCGGCGGGTGAGGCTACTGCCAGGGGGAGAGCAGACAGACACTCTTGCCTCGAGGCTGTTTCGGCAGGTCTTTGGTGGTCTTTTCCCAGACACTTCTGGAGGAGGGGCAGCAGCCGCAGGAGCAGCAGGTGCAGGGGCTGGGGCTGCCACGGACCCTGCTCTACTTTCCAGGGTGGCGGAGATTAGGGACGCCATCCAGGCAGAGACGGTACCACCAGAGTTTACAGCGCTCATAGAGACAGAGTCCGCTGTACTAGCAGCTGACTTGCGAGCCGTCGTTAAGACCGAGAGGGGTCTGGCGAAGACTCGCAAGCAGTTTTCTGAGGGACAGGTGGCGCACTGCATCCCGAAGAACTTTGTACCTGAGCTCCACCTCCACACTACAGAGGCACAGGAGCAGCTTCGGACTAGGATGCAGGAGCTTCAGCAGCACGCACAGGGACAGATGCAGCTGATTCTTATCAGCGGCCAGGTGGAGGACTTGCAGCAGCTTCAGACTCGGGTCACTACCTGGCGTGACAGGCTTCTCGTGACGATAGAGACGACCGACTTGCGAGAGCCTGTGACGTGGGGTTCCTTGCGCAGCAGTTTGCAGCAGAGCCGGCACGCTCTGCTATCTGGCAGAGCATCCAGACGCTGAGGGTTAGGTGCCACGCTGCTGTTACAGACGCACTCCTCCGTGTAGGGCTGCAGCACCGGCAGTACGCAGACACTGAGAGCAGGCGGGTGGAGCAGCAGCAGCGTCAGAGAGAGCGACGTCAGGAGCGGCGTGAGCAGGCAGAGGCGACGCCTGTAGACCAGACCATGGGAGAGTTTGTCCCCAGGGAGGTCGAGAGGCAGGTGGGCGCCTGGCAGGACGAGGCCCGGGAGCAGCTTCGTCGCATCCTCGAGCGACTTGACCGTTTGGAGGGGCGGCGCTCAGGGCAGTCAGGCCAGCAGCAGCGAGGCAGGACCAGGACTAGGGAGGTTACGGTGACGGACGCCTGGAGTCCGTCTCTCCTGTCCGTAGCCCGCACTCCGCAGGGCCGACAGGGCAGGCCGCTCACAGCCTACTCGGGAGCGGGTGCACAGACTGCAGGTACACAGGGTGCAGCAGGACAGCCTTCCCAGGGTCAGGGAGCAGCCACCACGACCCAGCAGCGCCCAGTGACACAGACCCAGGGGCAGCAGCAGCAGGGTCAGGGGCAGCAGCAGGGTCAGGGGCAGCAGCAGCAGGGTCAGCAGCAGCAGCGGCAGCAGCAGCAGCAGCAGCAGCAGCAGCAGCAGACCCAGCAGCAGCAGACCGGGACCACACGTCAGTCTGAGCAGGCCCCTGCCTCCACTCAGGGAGGCAAGGGGAAGGGCGGCGGTGGCTCCACGAGTTTCCAGGACCGCAGAGGCGGTAGAGGAGGACGTTGGGACCGGGGAGGTCGTTGGGGGAGGGGTGGACTGGACGGCGGGTGGCAGGACCGTGACAGTTGGTCACAGCAGCCGTTCCAGTCTACCTACCAGGGCCTAGCACAGCAGCAGCAGCCGTTTAGCTCTTACGGCCTGCAGCAGCAGCAGCAGCCGTTCGGTCCTTACGGCCTGCAGCAGCAGCCTTCTTGCAGTACGGACAGGGGGGGTCCTCTTTCGGCCCCTACCAGGGCTCCTTCTTCCAGGGTCCCTCGTACTTTCCCTTTTCTGGCGCACCTGCGCAGCAGCAGTTCTACCAGCAGCCTTTTTTGGGGCCTTCTTTCCAGCAGCAGCAGTTTGGAGCACCCCTCCGGCAGCAGCAGTTTGGAGCACCTCCTCCGACCCCCCCACAGCCCCCCCTGCCACAGCAGCCTCCACAGGGTCAGGGGGAGCAGCAGGGGCAGGCGAGGCAGTAGAGGGAGTCGTGGGGGAGGAGGTCGGTCGTAGGAGGAGGAGTAGGCCGCGTAGGAGGCTGGAGGAGAGTGACACCGACCGTCTTTTGAGACTGTTTGCTAGGCGCTCTGTGCAGGAGGTGGCGGACAAGCTAACTAACGTGGCTGTCCACAACCTTTCGCGCAGGCAGTTGTCAGAGGATGAGCTTGCAGGCCTCGCCCTTGGCCTCAAGTTCATCCCGACACCACCCTCCTTAGACCAGGAGCAGCTGAGACAGGCGGTGGAGCAGTTTCAGAGGAGGGTCAGGCTGGCTTGGCAGTTCCGGGACAGTCGCAGACCAGTACCCAGGTTCAGAGTCCCACGTCCCAGCTGGCAGCCGAGTTCGGGACCAGAGGAGGTTGAGGAGTACCTGGCCGGGGTAGCTGACAGGGTAGAGGGTTTGTCGGAGCTGATAGGGGGGCCAGCGCGGCCCAACGTGAGCAGGAGGGTGTTGGGCGCGCTGCAGAGGTTGAGTCGGGACCGGTCTATAGTTATTAAACCGGCCGACAAAAACCTTGGGATTGCGGTGTTAGACAGGGAGTGGTACGAGGGGGAGGCGCTGAGGCAGCTGGGGGACAGGGCGGTTTACGAGCCGGTGGCTATGGTGCCGTTGCAGAGACTTTGGGGGCAGTTGTGTCGGTGGGCAGAGCAGGCACGCCTGGCAGGGTTGCCGTCGCAGGTGTTAGACTTTATCCTGCAGCCACGCACTCCGTGTTTGGAGCGGGCTACCAGAGCTTGGGAGCGGTTTCGGGTGTGCAGATTCTACTTGCTACCGAAGCTGCACAAGACTCCAGTAGCCGGCAGGCCTATCTGCTCGTCCACGCTCTGGGTTTTTGAGCATGCATCGGCAGTCTTAGACCACTACCTCCGCCCTTTACTACGGTTTTCACCCTCGCACCTTCCAGACTCACTTGCACTTTTGCACCAGCTAGAGGACCTTCGTGTGCCAGCAGAGGCTCTCTTCCTGACCTACGACGTTGAGAGCCTCTACCCATCGATCCCTATCGACGCAGGTATCAGCTGCATCGAGAGGTGGTTGCTTCGGTGGGCAGCACAGGGGAGGATTGCAAGGGGGGTAGCAGACACACTGGTGCAGCTGTTGGGGTTGGTCATGAGGCAGAACCACCTCGAGTTTGGTGGTCGTTTTTGGCGGCAGGTTCGGGGGACTGCTATGGGCACGCCTGTAGCAGTGATCTACGCGGTTCTGTTCATGGCTTGGTTAGACGAGAGGTTGCTAGAGACAGAGCCCGAGTTGTCGCAGCACGTCCTTCTCCACCGCAGGTTCATAGACGACGGGGTGGTGGTTTGGACGGGGACACGGGAGCGGCTGCTGGAGTGGGTGGGGGCGTTTGGTGGGTTGGAGCAGACTATTCGACTGACCCACGAGATCTCCACCTCACAGTTCACCTTGCTGGATATCACGTTCAGCAAGGGAGAGCTCTGGCAGACGACGGCTATCTTGGACACCACGACCTTCCAGAAGCCGCTCAACGTGTACCAGTACTTTCCTTTCTCCTCCGCGCACCCCTCTCACTGCAAGAGGGGCTTCATCTTGGGTGAGCTGCAGCGGTACATTCTGAGGGAGTCCAGTTCTCGAGGGTTTAGGAGTATCAGGTCGGCCTTCTACGCTCGGCTGCGGGCGCGGGGGTACCCAGACACTTTCTTGCAGCCGATCTTCAGCAGCATCTCCTACGCACGACGCCCGGAGCTTCTTGCCAGGTCACGGGCTCGGGGGGAGGGGGAGCAGGAGGCGCAGCAGCGGGTTCTCCCTCTTGTTCTCGACTTCCACCCGAGTGTGCAGCAGGTCCGCTGGGGTAGGTTGCTGCCTTCCCTCCAGAGGCACCAGCGTTTGAGCAGCTTTCTCACTACAGGGCACCTTTCGTGTCCTACAGGGCACCTCCGTCGCTCCGACAGCTACTCGTGCGAGCGTCGTTCAGGTGACTAGGGTGCCCCGCTCTCGCCGTCGCCGCACAGCACGTCACTTGTCTTCTGTGGGTGTCGTGCCGTCTCGGTTAGTCGTCTGCCGCCTCCCCGCCCTTCCTCCTTGTTTCACAGCACGTGCACACGGGTGGGGCCTTGGAGCGAGCACCTTTCTGCACTTCGCAGCGGCGTGCTGCATTTGGTTGGGCCGTCGCAGCAGCACCATCCCCCGTCCAGTCTCTTCGTTTTCTCACACAGGCTGGACCCAGGGATGCACGACAGCCTCCCGCCTGACTTCTTTGATTTCAGCCACACAGGTCAGGCCCTGGGGCAGTGTGAGTGTACCTGCGACTACACTCTGCGTTCGTTGTGGGTTGTATCTGTGGGTTACGCACTTGCACACTTGTACCATTCCCCATCCCAGACCGTTATGAGTACTGGGATGCCTTTCTCCTCTTTGCACGGGACTTGGGTTTTGGTAGCATGTGCATTGTACCTTCCCCACCTCTGGCCATATGAGCACAGGGGTGCCTTTCTCCTCTTGCACGTAGTGGGGATTTATGGGATTCGGGGTACCATGACACATGGCACATGTACTTGACACGCCCCCGACCTTTATGAGTACCAGGGGGCACAGCACGCGAGAGGGTGACTAGGCCTCTTTCTAGTTTCGGGGGTTAGCTTGTTAGGTACATGCAGGTCTCCGTCTCACTGTGTAGGGCTGATGAAGGGCTCTTCGACGAGCCTTCACACGCCCCGAACGGAGCACCGAGCGCTGAGTTACGCGCGTTTTAGTGGTACGCTCTCTGGTTTCGCGCGAATCTGGAGAGCGCCGGGCTGGCACCCGAACATGACTGTTTGCATGTTCCGGTTTTCCGCCACCCGGACCCGACGGTTACCCTGTATATTATATGTCGGACCATGAGCCCCGTAGGGGCTGGAGGCTGCCGGAAACCGTCGGATTCGCCATCTGGCGCCCGGATTGGGAGATATGGGCAGCTGGGTGTAGGCCCTTGGCAGGCTGCACAGTTGGCAGCCTGCAAGGGCGTTTCTTTGCCTAGGTGGCAGGTTAGGCCCACATTGCACTTTGGGGCATTGGGTTGGGTTGGGACAGCTATAAGTAGGGAGCTCTTGCTAGGGTAGATCCTTGTCTTGCTGATGATGCCTTCGTGGCGAAATCGATACGAGACTGCTTCTACCTACACTTGAGGTACTTACTCTATTGCATGTCCCTACACCCCTAGGCTTAGGACTTGTGTTTTTTTCAGCAGTTTGCTTGCCTAGCTAGAAGTTTCTTGCAGTTCTCCTGCATTCCGCTAGGGCCATTTTCGTCGTCGTTTTTTCCTGCCGCTTGGGGAGCCTTGTGTTGCCCCCTGGCGGCCCTAGCCTACCCTTAGAGTAGTGCCATCGGCTAGACTTTCAGAGACTCGTGCCCCTCGACTTCTCCAGTCTAGGCCGTTAGTCTCTCGTTCTACCGATAGGCCGTCACAGCCACTTTCTTCGTTAGCGACTCTAGACTGTCTGGAGCAGCACTGCAGCTCAGTTCTTTGAGCATTCCTATCAAACCCTAAACCTATTGCACTGACGCCGGTGTTGGAGAGTGGCGTAGACGATACAGACTCCTAGTTTTTTCCGTTTCGTTAGTCTTTTAGACGTCACCATGAGTGGGCTCCGAGTTCCTGCAGCGGCAGGCACTGGGGGAGGAGCCGGTGTCGGCAGAGCAGGAGACCAGGGGGGATCAGCGGCTGCGGCTATGGAGACTAGTGCACCAGCTACTGTCGCTGATATTACTGAGCAGTTTCGGCGTACTCGTAGACGGACCGAGCGGGACGAGGAGGACAGACGGACGGAGTTGGCGCTGGAGCAGCAGGCCGAGTGGCAGCGCAGCATACAGCAGCAGCTTCGTCTCAGGAATATTGAGGGGGATATCCTGCGAGACCGGTCCGTGATAGACAGCTGGGTTAGGATGATCTCTCGTGACAGGGAGCAGTTGGCACAGGAGGCAGCTTCCATTCGCGAGCAGCTGAGACAGGAGGCTGAGACCTTGGCACAGCAGCGGCAGCAGCGACCACGGCTTGGGCTACCGTCGTCGCAGCAGGAGCCACAGCAGCAGGCCAGCAGCAGCAGCAGGGGCAACAGCAGGCCCAGCAGCAGCAGGGTCAGCAGCGGCAGGGTCAGCAGCAGTCTCAGCAGCAGCAGCCGCAGCAGCAGCAGCAGCCGACAGCCACCGGTGCGGCGGGTGAGGCTACTGCCGGGGGAGAGCAGACAGACACTCTTGCCTCGAGGCTGTTTCGGCAGGTCTTTGGTGGTCTTTTCCCAGACACTTCTGGAGGAGGGGCAGCAGCCGCAGGAGCAGCAGGTGCAGGGGCTGGGGCTGCCACGGACCCTGCTCTACTTTCCAGGGTGGCGGAGATTAGGGACGCCATCCAGGCAGAGACGGTACCACCAGAGTTTACAGCGCTCATAGAGACAGAGTCCGCTGTACTAGCAGCTGACTTGCGAGCCGTCGTTAAGACCGAGAGGGGTCTGGCGAAGACTCGCAAGCAGTTTTCTGAGGGACAGGTGGCGCACTGCATCCCGAAGAACTTTGTACCTGAGCTCCACCTCCACACTACAGAGGCACAGGAGCAGCTTCGGACTAGGATGCAGGAGCTTCAGCAGCACGCACAGGGACAGATGCAGCTGATTCTTATCAGCGGCCAGGTGGAGGACTTGCAGCAGCTTCAGACTCGGGTCACTACCTGGCGTGACAGGCTTCTCGTGACGATAGACGACCGACTTGCGAGAGCCTGTGACGTGGGGTTCCTTGCGCAGCAGTTTGCAGCAGAGCCGGCACGCTCTGCTATCTGGCAGAGCATCCAGGACGCTGAGGGTTAGGTGCCACGCTGCTGTTACAGACGCACTCCTCCGTGTAGGGCTGCAGCACCGGCAGTACGCAGACACTGAGAGCAGGCGGGTGGAGCAGCAGCAGCGTCAGAGAGAGCGACGTCAGGAGCGGCGTGAGCAGGCAGAGGCGACGCCTGTAGACCAGACCATGGGAGAGTTTGTCCCCAGGGAGGTCGAGAGGCAGGTGGGCGCCTGGCAGGACGAGGCCCGGGAGCAGCTTCGTCGCATCCTCGAGCGACTTGACCGTTTGGAGGGGCGGCGCTCAGGGCAGTCAGGCCAGCAGCAGCGAGGCAGGACCAGGACTAGGGAGGTTACGGGTGACGGACGCCTGGAGTCCGTCTCTCCTGTCCGTAGCCGCACTCCGCAGGGCCGACAGGGCAGCCGCTCACAGCCTACTCAGGGAGCGGGTGCACAGACTGCAGGTACACAGGGTGCAGCAGGACAGCCTTCCCAGGGTCAGGGAGCAGCCACCACGACCCAGCAGCGCCCAGTGACACAGACCCAGGGGCAGCAGCAGCAGGGTCAGGGGCAGCAGCAGGGTCAGGGGCAGCAGCAGCAGGGTCAGCAGCAGCAGCGGCAGCAGCAGCAGCAGCAGCAGCAGCAGCAGCAGCAGACCCAGCAGCAGCAGACCGGGACCACACGTCAGTCTGAGCAGGCCCCTGCCTCCACTCAGGGAGGCAAGGGGAAGGGCGGCGGTGGCTCCACGAGTTTCCAGGACCGCAGAGGCGGTAGAGGAGGACGTTGGGACCGGGGAGGTCGTTGGGGGAGGGGTGGACTGGACGGCGGGTGGCAGGACCGTGACAGTTGGTCACAGCAGCCGTTCCAGTCTACCTACCAGGGCCTAGCACAGCAGCAGCAGCCGTTTAGCTCTTACGGCCTGCAGCAGCAGCAGCAGCCGTTCGGTCCTTACGGCCTGCAGCAGCAGCCTTCTTGGCAGTACGGACAGGGGGGGTCCTCTTTCGGCCCCTACCAGGGCTCCTTCTTCCAGGGTCCCTCGTACTTTCCCTTTTCTGGCGCACCTGCGCAGCAGCAGTTCTACCAGCAGCCTTTTTTGGGGCCTTCTTTCCAGCAGCAGCAGTTTGGAGCACCCCTCCGGCAGCAGCAGTTTGGAGCACCTCCTCCGACCCCCCCACAGCCCCCCCTGCCACAGCAGCCTCCACAGGGTCAGGGGGAGCAGCAGGGGCAGGCGAGGCAGTAGAGGGAGTCGTGGGGGAGGAGGTCGGTCGTAGGAGGAGGAGTAGGCCGCGTAGGAGGCTGGAGGAGAGTGACACCGACCGTCTTTTGAGACTGTTTGCTAGGCGCTCTGTGCAGGAGGTGGCGGACAAGCTAACTAACGTGGCTGTCCACAACCTTTCGCGCAGGCAGTTGTCAGAGGATGAGCTTGCAGGCCTCGCCCTTGGCCTCAAGTTCATCCCGACACCACCCTCCTTAGACCAGGAGCAGCTGAGACAGGCGGTGGAGCAGTTTCAGAGGAGGGTCAGGCTGGCTTGGCAGTTCCGGGACAGTCGCAGACCAGTACCCAGGTTCAGAGTCCCACGTCCCAGCTGGCAGCCGAGTTCGGGACCAGAGGAGGTTGAGGAGTACCTGGCCGGGGTAGCTGACAGGGTAGAGGGTTTGTCGGAGCTGATAGGGGGGCCAGCGCGGCCCAACGTGAGCAGGAGGGTGTTGGGCGCGCTGCAGAGGTTGAGTCGGGACCGGTCTATAGTTATTAAACCGGCCGACAAAAACCTTGGGATTGCGGTGTTAGACAGGGAGTGGTACGAGGGGGAGGCGCTGAGGCAGCTGGGGGACAGGGCGGTTTACGAGCCGGTGGCTATGGTGCCGTTGCAGAGACTTTGGGGGCAGTTGTGTCGGTGGGCAGAGCAGGCACGCCTGGCAGGGTTGCCGTCGCAGGTGTTAGACTTTATCCTGCAGCCACGCACTCCGTGTTTGGAGCGGGCTACCAGAGCTTGGGAGCGGTTTCGGGTGTGCAGATTCTACTTGCTACCGAAGCTGCACAAGACTCCAGTAGCCGGCAGGCCTATCTGCTCGTCCACGCTCTGGGTTTTTGAGCATGCATCGGCAGTCTTAGACCACTACCTCCGCCCTTTACTACGGTTTTCACCCTCGCACCTTCCAGACTCACTTGCACTTTTGCACCAGCTAGAGGACCTTCGTGTGCCAGCAGAGGCTCTCTTCCTGACCTACGACGTTGAGAGCCTCTACCCATCGATCCCTATCGACGCAGGTATCAGCTGCATCGAGAGGTGGTTGCTTCGGTGGGCAGCACAGGGGAGGATTGCAAGGGGGGTAGCAGACACACTGGTGCAGCTGTTGGGGTTGGTCATGAGGCAGAACCACCTCGAGTTTGGTGGTCGTTTTTGGCGGCAGGTTCGGGGGACTGCTATGGGCACGCCTGTAGCAGTGATCTACGCGGTTCTGTTCATGGCTTGGTTAGACGAGAGGTTGCTAGAGACAGAGCCCGAGTTGTCGCAGCACGTCCTTCTCCACCGCAGGTTCATAGACGACAGGGGTGGTGGTTTGGACGGGGACACGGGAGCGGCTGCTGGAGTGGGTGGGGGCGTTTGGTGGGTTGGAGCAGACTATTCGACTGACCCACGAGATCTCCACCTCACAGTTCACCTTGCTGGATATCACGTTCAGCAAGGGAGAGCTCTGGCAGACGACGGCTATCTTGGACACCACGACCTTCCAGAAGCCGCTCAACGTGTACCAGTACTTTCCTTTCTCCTCCGCGCACCCCTCTCACTGCAAGAGGGGCTTCATCTTGGGTGAGCTGCAGCGGTACATTCTGAGGGAGTCCAGTTCTCGAGGGTTTAGGAGTATCAGGTCGGCCTTCTACGCTCGGCTGCGGGCGCGGGGGTACCCAGACACTTTCTTGCAGCCGATCTTCAGCAGCATCTCCTACGCACGACGCCCGGAGCTTCTTGCCAGGTCACGGGCTCGGGGGGAGGGGGAGCAGGAGGCGCAGCAGCGGGTTCTCCCTCTTGTTCTCGACTTCCACCCGAGTGTGCAGCAGGTCCGCTGGGGTAGGTTGCTGGCCTTCCCTCCAGAGGCACCAGCGTTTGAGCAGCTTTCTCACTACAGGGCACCTTTCGTGTCCTACAGGGCACCTCCGTCGCTCCGACAGCTACTCGTGCGAGCGTCGTTCAGGTGACTAGGGTGCCCCGCTCTCGCCGTCGCCGCACAGCACGTCACTTGTCTTCTGTGGGTGTCGTGCCGTCTCGGTTAGTCGTCTGCCGCCTCCCCGCCCTTCCTCCTTGTTTCACAGCACGTGCACACGGGTGGGGCCTTGGAGCGAGCACCTTTCTGCACTTCGCAGCGGCGTGCTGCATTTGGTTGGGCCGTCGCAGCAGCACCATCCCCCGTCCAGTCTCTTCGTTTCTCACACAGGCTGGACCCAGGGATGCACGACAGCCTCCCGCCTGACTTCTTTGATTTCAGCCACACAGGTCAGGCCCTGGGGCAGTGTGAGTGTACCTGCGACTACACTCTGCGTTCGTTGTGGGTTGTATCTGTGGGTTACGCACTTGCACACTTGTACCATTCCCCATCCCAGACCGTTATGAGTACTGGGATGCCTTTCTCCTCTTGCACGGGACTTGGGTTTTGGTAGCATGTGCATTGTACCTTCCCCACCTCTGGCCATATGAGCACAGGGGTGCCTTTCTCCTCTTGCACGTAGTGGGGATTTATGGGATTCGGGGTACCATGACACATGGCACATGTACTTGACACGCCCCCGACCTTTATGAGTACCAGGGGGCACAGCACGCGAGAGGGTGACTAGGCCTCTTTCTAGTTTCGGGGGTTAGCTTGTTAGGTACATGCAGGTCTCCGTCTCACTGTGTAGGGCTGATGAAGGGCTCTTCGACGAGCCTTCACACGCCCCGAACGGAGCACCGAGCGCTGAGTTACGCGCGTTTTAGTGGTACGCTCTCTGGTTTCGCTGCGAATCTGGAGAGCGCCGGGCTGGCACCCGAACATGACTGTTTGCATGTTCCGGTTTTCGCCACCCGGACCCGACGGTTACCCTGTATATTATATGTCGGACCATGAGCCCCGTAGGGGCTGGAGGCTGCCGGAACCGTCGGATTCGCCATCTGGCGCCCGGATTGGGAGATATGGGCAGCTGGGTGTAGGCCCTTGGCAGGCTGCACAGTTGGCAGCCTGCAAGGGCGTTTCTTTGCCTAGGTGGCAGGTTAGGCCCACATTGCACTTTGGGGCATTGGGTTGGGTTGGGACAGCTATAAGTAGGGAGCTCTTGCTAGGGTAGATCCTTGTCTTGCTGATGATGCCTTCGTGGCGAAATCGATACGAGACTGCTTCTACCTACACTTGAGGTACTTACTCTATTGCATGTCCCTACACCCCTAGGCTTAGGACTTGTGTTTTTTTCAGCAGTTTGCTTGCCTAGCTAGAAGTTTCTTGCAGTTCTCCTGCATTCCGCTAGGCCATTTTCGTCGTCGTTTTTTCCTGCCGCTTGGGGAGCCTTGTGTTGCCCCCTGGCGGCCCTAGCCTACCTTAGAGTAGTGCCATCGGCTAGACTTTCAGAGACTCGTGCCCCTCGACTTCTCCCAGTCTAGGCCGTTAGTCTCTCGTTCTACCGATAGGCCGTCACAGCCACTTTCTTCGTTAGCGACTCTAGACTGTCTGGAGCAGCACTGCAGCTCAGTTCTTTGAGCATTCCTATCAAACCCTAAACCTATTGCACTGACGCCGGTGTTGGAGAGTGGCGTAGACGATACAGACTCCTAGTTTTTTCCGTTTCGTTAGTCTTTTAGACGTCACCATGAGTGGGCTCCGAGTTCCTGCAGCGGCAGGCACTGGGGGAGGAGCCGGTGTCGGCAGAGCAGGAGACCAGGGGGGATCAGCGGCTGCGGCTATGGAGACTAGTGCACCAGCTACTGTCGCTGATATTACTGAGCAGTTTCGGCGTACTCGTAGACGGACCGAGCGGGACGAGGAGGACAGACGGACGGAGTTGGCGCTGGAGCAGCAGGCCGAGTGGCAGCGCAGCATACAGCAGCAGCTTCGTCTCAGGAATATTGAGGGGGATATCCTGCGAGACCGGTCCGTGATAGACAGCTGGGTTAGGATGATCTCTCGTGACAGGGAGCAGTTGGCACAGGAGGCAGCTTCCATTCGCGAGCAGCTGAGACAGGAGGCTGAGACCTTGGCACAGCAGCGGCAGCAGCGACCACGGCTTGGGCTACCGTCGTCGCAGCAGGAGCCACAGCAGCAGGGCCAGCAGCAGCAGCAGGGGCAACAGCAGGCCCAGCAGCAGCAGGGTCAGCAGCGGCAGGGTCAGCAGCAGTCTCAGCAGCAGCAGCCGCAGCAGCAGCAGCAGCCGACAGCCACCGGTGCGGCGGGTGAGGCTACTGCCGGGGGGAGAGCAGACAGACACTCTTGCCTCGAGGCTGTTTCGGCAGGTCTTTGGTGGTCTTTTCCCAGACACTTCTGGAGGAGGGGCAAGCAGCCGCAGGAGCAGCAGGTGCAGGGGCTGGGGCTGCCACGGACCCTGCTCTACTTTCCAGGGTGGCGGAGATTAGGGACGCCATCCAGGCAGAGACGGTACCACCAGAGTTTACAGCGCTCATAGAGACAGAGTCCGCTGTACTAGCAGCTGACTTGCGAGCCGTCGTTAAGACCGAGAGGGGTCTGGCGAAGACTCGCAAGCAGTTTTCTGAGGGACAGGTGGCGCACTGCATCCCGAAGAACTTTGTACCTGAGCTCCACCTCCACACTACAGAGGCACAGGAGCAGCTTCGGACTAGGATGCAGGAGCTTCAGCAGCACGCACAGGGACAGATGCAGCTGATTCTTATCAGCGGCCAGGTGGAGGACTTGCAGCAGCTTCAGACTCGGGTCACTACCTGGCGTGACAGGCTTCTCGTGACGATAGACGACCGACTTGCGAGAGCCTGTGACGTGGGGTTCCTTGCGCAGCAGTTTGCAGCAGAGCCGGCACGCTCTGCTATCTGGCAGAGCATCCAGACGCTGAGGGTTAGGTGCCACGCTGCTGTTACAAGACGCACTCCTCCGTGTAGGGCTGCAGCAACCGGCAGTACGCAGACACTGAGAGCAGGCGGGTGGAGCAGCAGCAGCGTCAGAGAGAGCGACGTCAGGAGCGGCGTGAGCAGGCAGAGGCGACGCCTGTAGACCAGACCATGGGAGAGTTTGTCCCCAGGGAGGTCGAGAGGCAGGTGGGCGCCTGGCAGGACGAGGCCCGGGAGCAGCTTCGTCGCATCCTCGAGCGACTTGACCGTTTGGAGGGGCGGCGCTCAGGGCAGTCAGGCCAGCAGCAGCGAGGCAGGACCAGGACTAGGGAGGTTACGGGTGACGGACAGCCTGGAGTCCGTCTCTCCTGTCCGTAGCCGCACTCCGCAGGGCCGACAGGGCAGCCGCTCACAGCCTACTCAGGGAGCGGGTGCACAGACTGCAGGTACACAGGGTGCAGCAGGACAGCCTTCCCAGGGTCAGGGAGCAGCCACCACGACCCAGCAGCGCCCAGTGACACAGACCCAGGGGCAGCAGCAGCAGGGTCAGGGGCAGCAGCAGGGTCAGGGGCAGCAGCAGCAGGGTCAGCAGCAGCAGCGGCAGCAGCAGCAGCAGCAGCAGCAGCAGCAGCAGCAGACCCAGCAGCAGCAGACCGGGACCACACGTCAGTCTGAGCAGGCCCCTGCCTCCACTCAGGGAGGCAAGGGGAAGGGCGGCGGTGGCTCCACGAGTTTCCAGGACCGCAGAGGCGGTAGAGGAGGACGTTGGGACCGGGGAGGTCGTTGGGGGAGGGGTGGACTGGACGGCGGGTGGCAGGACCGTGACAGTTGGTCACAGCAGCCGTTCCAGTCTACCTACCAGGGCCTAGCACAGCAGCAGCAGCCGTTTAGCTCTTACGGCCTGCAGCAGCAGCAGCAGCCGTTCGGTCCTTACGGCCTGCAGCAGCAGCCTTCTTGGCAGTACGGACAGGGGGGGTCCTCTTTCGGCCCCTACCAGGGCTCCTTCTTCCAGGGTCCCTCGTACTTTCCCTTTTCTGGCGCACCTGCGCAGCAGCAGTTCTACCAGCAGCCTTTTTTGGGGCCTTCTTTCCAGCAGCAGCAGTTTGGAGCACCCCTCCGGCAGCAGCAGTTTGGAGCACCTCCTCCGACCCCCCCACAGCCCCCCCTGCCACAGCAGCCTCCACAGGGTCAGGGGGAGCAGCAGGGGCAGGCGAGGCAGTAGAGGGAGTCGTGGGGGAGGAGGTCGGTCGTAGGAGGAGGAGTAGGCCGCGTAGGAGGCTGGAGGAGAGTGACACCGACCGTCTTTTGAGACTGTTTGCTAGGCGCTCTGTGCAGGAGGTGGCGGACAAGCTAACTAACGTGGCTGTCCACAACCTTTCGCGCAGGCAGTTGTCAGAGGATGAGCTTGCAGGCCTCGCCCTTGGCCTCAAGTTCATCCCGACACCACCCTCCTTAGACCAGGAGCAGCTGAGACAGGCGGTGGAGCAGTTTCAGAGGAGGGTCAGGCTGGCTTGGCAGTTCCGGGACAGTCGCAGACCAGTACCCAGGTTCAGAGTCCCACGTCCCAGCTGGCAGCCGAGTTCGGGACCAGAGGAGGTTGAGGAGTACCTGGCCGGGGTAGCTGACAGGGTAGAGGGTTTGTCGGAGCTGATAGGGGGGCCAGCGCGGCCCAACGTGAGCAGGAGGGTGTTGGGCGCGCTGCAGAGGTTGAGTCGGGACCGGTCTATAGTTATTAAACCGGCCGACAAAAACCTTGGGATTGCGGTGTTAGACAGGGAGTGGTACGAGGGGGAGGCGCTGAGGCAGCTGGGGGACAGGGCGGTTTACGAGCCGGTGGCTATGGTGCCGTTGCAGAGACTTTGGGGGCAGTTGTGTCGGTGGGCAGAGCAGGCACGCCTGGCAGGGTTGCCGTCGCAGGTGTTAGACTTTATCCTGCAGCCACGCACTCCGTGTTTGGAGCGGGCTACCAGAGCTTGGGAGCGGTTTTCGGGTGTGCAGATTCTACTTGCTACCGAAGCTGCACAAGACTCCAGTAGCCGGCAGGCCTATCTGCTCGTCCACGCTCTGGGTTTTTGAGCATGCATCGGCAGTCTTAGACCACTACCTCCGCCCTTTACTACGGTTTTCACCCTCGCACCTTCCAGACTCACTTGCACTTTTGCACCAGCTAGAGGACCTTCGTGTGCCAGCAGAGGCTCTCTTCCTGACCTACGACGTTGAGAGCCTCTACCCATCGATCCCTATCGACGCAGGTATCAGCTGCATCGAGAGGTGGTTGCTTCGGTGGGCAGCACAGGGGAGGATTGCAAGGGGGGTAGCAGACACACTGGTGCAGCTGTTGGGGTTGGTCATGAGGCAGAACCACCTCGAGTTTGGTGGTCGTTTTTGGCGGCAGGTTCGGGGGACTGCTATGGGCACGCCTGTAGCAGTGATCTACGCGGTTCTGTTCATGGCTTGGTTAGACGAGAGGTTGCTAGAGACAGAGCCCGAGTTGTCGCAGCACGTCCTTCTCCACCGCAGGTTCATAGACGACGGGGTGGTGGTTTGGACGGGGACACGGGAGCGGCTGCTGGAGTGGGTGGGGGCGTTTGGTGGGTTGGAGCAGACTATTCGACTGACCCACGAGATCTCCACCTCACAGTTCACCTTGCTGGATATCACGTTCAGCAAGGGAGAGCTCTGGCAGACGACGGCTATCTTGGACACCACGACCTTCCAGAAGCCGCTCAACGTGTACCAGTACTTTCCTTTCTCCTCCGCGCACCCCTCTCACTGCAAGAGGGGCTTCATCTTGGGTGAGCTGCAGCGGTACATTCTGAGGGAGTCCAGTTCTCGAGGGTTTAGGAGTATCAGGTCGGCCTTCTACGCTCGGCTGCGGGCGCGGGGGTACCCAGACACTTTCTTGCAGCCGATCTTCAGCAGCATCTCCTACGCACGACGCCCGGAGCTTCTTGCCAGGTCACGGGCTCGGGGGGAGGGGGAGCAGGAGGCGCAGCAGCGGGTTCTCCCTCTTGTTCTCGACTTCCACCCGAGTGTGCAGCAGGTCCGCTGGGGTAGGTTGCTGGCCTTCCCTCCAGAGGCACCAGCGTTTGAGCAGCTTTCTCACTACAGGGCACCTTTCGTGTCCTACAGGGCACCTCCGTCGCTCCGACAGCTACTCGTGCGAGCGTCGTTCAGGTGACTAGGGTGCCCCGCTCTCGCCGTCGCCGCACAGCACGTCACTTGTCTTCTGTGGGTGTCGTGCCGTCTCGGTTAGTCGTCTGCCGCCTCCCCGCCCTTCCTCCTTGTTTCACAGCACGTGCACACGGGTGGGGCCTTGGAGCGAGCACCTTTCTGCACTTCGCAGCGGCGTGCTGCATTTGGTTGGGCCGTCGCAGCAGCACCATCCCCCGTCCAGTCTCTTCGTTTTCTCACACAGGCTGGACCCAGGGATGCACGACAGCCTCCCGCCTGACTTCTTTGATTTCAGCCACACAGGTCAGGCCCTGGGGCAGTGTGAGTGTACCTGCGACTACACTCTGCGTTCGTTGTGGGTTGTATCTGTGGGTTACGCACTTGCACACTTGTACCATTCCCCATCCCAGACCGTTATGAGTACTGGGATGCCTTTCTCCTCTTTGCACGGGACTTGGGTTTTGGTAGCATGTGCATTGTACCTTCCCCACCTCTGGCCATATGAGCACAGGGGTGCCTTTCTCCTCTTGCACGTAGTGGGGATTTATGGGATTCGGGGTACCATGACACATGGCACATGTACTTGACACGCCCCCGACCTTTATGAGTACCAGGGGGCACAGCACGCGAGAGGGTGACTAGGCCTCTTTCTAGTTTCGGGGGTTAGCTTGTTAGGTACATGCAGGTCTCCGTCTCACTGTGTAGGGCTGATGAAGGGCTCTTCGACGAGCCTTCACACGCCCCGAACGGAGCACCGAGCGCTGAGTTACGCGCGTTTTAGTGGTACGCTCTCTGGTTTCGCGCGAATCTGGAGAGCGCCGGGCTGGCACCCGAACATGACTGTTTGCATGTTCCGGTTTTCGCCACCCGGACCCGACGGTTACCCTGTATATTATATGTCGGACCATGAGCCCCGTAGGGGCTGGAGGCTGCCGGAACCGTCGGATTCGCCATCTGGCGCCCGGATTGGGAGATATGGGCAGCTGGGTGTAGGCCCTTGGCAGGCTGCACAGTTGGCAGCCTGCAAGGGCGTTTCTTTGCCTAGGTGGCAGGTTAGGCCCACATTGCACTTTGGGGCATTGGGTTGGGTTGGGACAGCTATAAGTAGGGAGCTCTTGCTAGGGTAGATCCTTGTCTTGCTGATGATGCCTTCGTGGCGAAATCGATACGAGACTGCTTCTACCTACACTTGAGGTACTTACTCTATTGCATGTCCCTACACCCCTAGGCTTAGGACTTGTGTTTTTTTCAGCAGTTTGCTTGCCTAGCTAGAAGTTTCTTGCAGTTCTCCTGCATTCCGCTAGGCCATTTTCGTCGTCGTTTTTTCCTGCCGCTTGGGGAGCCTTGTGTTGCCCCCTGGCGGCCCTAGCCTACCCTTAGAGTAGTGCCATCGGCTAGACTTTCAGAGACTCGTGCCCCTCGACTTCTCCCAGTCTAGGCCGTTAGTCTCTCGTTCTACCGATAGGCCGTCACAGCCACTTTCTTCGTTAGCGACTCTAGACTGTCTGGAGCAGCACTGCAGCTCAGTTCTTTGAGCATTCCTATCAAACCCTAAACCTATTGCACTGACGCCGGTGTTGGAGAGTGGCGTAGACGATACAGACTCCTAGTTTTTTCCGTTTCGTTAGTCTTTTAGACGTCACCATGAGTGGGCTCCGAGTTCCTGCAGCGGCAGGCACTGGGGGAGGAGCCGGTGTCGGCAGAGCAGGAGACCAGGGGGGATCAGCGGCTGCGGCTATGGAGACTAGTGCACCAGCTACTGTCGCTGATATTACTGAGCAGTTTCGGCGTACTCGTAGACGGACCGAGCGGGACGAGGAGGACAGACGGACGGAGTTGGCGCTGGAGCAGCAGGCCGAGTGGCAGCGCAGCATACAGCAGCAGCTTCGTCTCAGGAATATTGAGGGGGATATCCTGCGAGACCGGTCCGTGATAGACAGCTGGGTTAGGATGATCTCTCGTGACAGGGAGCAGTTGGCACAGGAGGCAGCTTCCATTCGCGAGCAGCTGAGACAGGAGGCTGAGACCTTGGCACAGCAGCGGCAGCAGCGACCACGGCTTGGGCTACCGTCGTCGCAGCAGGAGCCACAGCAGCAGGGCCAGCAGCAGCAGCAGGGGCAACAGCAGGCCCAGCAGCAGCAGGGTCAGCAGCGGCAGGGTCAGCAGCAGTCTCAGCAGCAGCAGCCGCAGCAGCAGCAGCAGCCGACAGCCACCGGTGCGGCGGGTGAGGCTACTGCCGGGGGAGAGCAGACAGACACTCTTGCCTCGAGGCTGTTTCGGCAGGTCTTTGGTGGTCTTTTCCCAGACACTTCTGGAGGAGGGGCAGCAGCCGCAGGAGCAGCAGGTGCAGGGGCTGGGGCTGCCACGGACCCTGCTCTACTTTCCAGGGTGGCGGAGATTAGGGACGCCATCCAGGCAGAGACGGTACCACCAGAGTTTACAGCGCTCATAGAGACAGAGTCCGCTGTACTAGCAGCTGACTTGCGAGCCGTCGTTAAGACCGAGAGGGGTCTGGCGAAGACTCGCAAGCAGTTTTCTGAGGGACAGGTGGCGCACTGCATCCCGAAGAACTTTGTACCTGAGCTCCACCTCCACACTACAGAGGCACAGGAGCAGCTTCGGACTAGGATGCAGGAGCTTCAGCAGCACGCACAGGGACAGATGCAGCTGATTCTTATCAGCGGCCAGGTGGAGGACTTGCAGCAGCTTCAGACTCGGGTCACTACCTGGCGTGACAGGCTTCTCGTGACGATAGACGACCGACTTGCGAGAGCCTGTGACGTGGGGTTCCTTGCGCAGCAGTTTGCAGCAGAGCCGGCACGCTCTGCTATCTGGCAGAGCATCCAGACGCTGAGGGTTAGGTGCCACGCTGCTGTTACAGACGCACTCCTCCGTGTAGGGCTGCAGCACCGGCAGTACGCAGACACTGAGAGCAGGCGGGTGGAGCAGCAGCAGCGTCAGAGAGAGCGACGTCAGGAGCGGCGTGAGCAGGCAGAGGCGACGCCTGTAGACCAGACCATGGGAGAGTTTGTCCCCAGGGAGGTCGAGAGGCAGGTGGGCGCCTGGCAGGACGAGGCCCGGGAGCAGCTTCGTCGCATCCTCGAGCGACTTGACCGTTTGGAGGGGCGGCGCTCAGGGCAGTCAGGCCAGCAGCAGCGAGGCAGGACCAGGACTAGGGAGGTTACGGGTGACGGACGCCTGGAGTCCGTCTCTCCTGTCCGTAGCCGCACTCCGCAGGGCCGACAGGGCAGCCGCTCACAGCCTACTCAGGGAGCGGGTGCACAGACTGCAGGTACACAGGGTGCAGCAGGACAGCCTTCCCAGGGTCAGGGAGCAGCCACCACGACCCAGCAGCGCCCAGTGACACAGACCCAGGGGCAGCAGCAGCAGGGTCAGGGGCAGCAGCAGGGTCAGGGGCAGCAGCAGCAGGGTCAGCAGCAGCAGCGGCAGCAGCAGCAGCAGCAGCAGCAGCAGCAGCAGCAGCAGACCCAGCAGCAGCAGACCGGGACCACACGTCAGTCTGAGCAGGCCCCTGCCTCCACTCAGGGAGGCAAGGGGAAGGGCGGCGGTGGCTCCACGAGTTTCCAGGACCGCAGAGGCGGTAGAGGAGGACGTTGGGACCGGGGAGGTCGTTGGGGGAGGGGTGGACTGGACGGCGGGTGGCAGGACCGTGACAGTTGGTCACAGCAGCCGTTCCAGTCTACCTACCAGGGCCTAGCACAGCAGCAGCAGCCGTTTAGCTCTTACGGCCTGCAGCAGCAGCAGCAGCCGTTCGGTCCTTACGGCCTGCAGCAGCAGCCTTCTTGGCAGTACGGACAGGGGGGGTCCTCTTTCGGCCCCTACCAGGGCTCCTTCTTCCAGGGTCCCTCGTACTTTCCCTTTTCTGGCGCACCTGCGCAGCAGCAGTTCTACCAGCAGCCTTTTTTGGGGCCTTCTTTCCAGCAGCAGCAGTTTGGAGCACCCCTCCGGCAGCAGCAGTTTGGAGCACCTCCTCCGACCCCCCCACAGCCCCCCCTGCCACAGCAGCCTCCACAGGGTCAGGGGGAGCAGCAGGGGCAGGCGAGGCAGTAGAGGGAGTCGTGGGGGAGGAGGTCGGTCGTAGGAGGAGGAGTAGGCCGCGTAGGAGGCTGGAGGAGAGTGACACCGACCGTCTTTTGAGACTGTTTGCTAGGCGCTCTGTGCAGGAGGTGGCGGACAAGCTAACTAACGTGGCTGTCCACAACCTTTCGCGCAGGCAGTTGTCAGAGGATGAGCTTGCAGGCCTCGCCCTTGGCCTCAAGTTCATCCCGACACCACCCTCCTTAGACCAGGAGCAGCTGAGACAGGCGGTGGAGCAGTTTCAGAGGAGGGTCAGGCTGGCTTGGCAGTTCCGGGACAGTCGCAGACCAGTACCCAGGTTCAGAGTCCCACGTCCCAGCTGGCAGCCGAGTTCGGGACCAGAGGAGGTTGAGGAGTACCTGGCCGGGGTAGCTGACAGGGTAGAGGGTTTGTCGGAGCTGATAGGGGGGCCAGCGCGGCCCAACGTGAGCAGGAGGGTGTTGGGCGCGCTGCAGAGGTTGAGTCGGGACCGGTCTATAGTTATTAAACCGGCCGACAAAAACCTTGGGATTGCGGTGTTAGACAGGGAGTGGTACGAGGGGGAGGCGCTGAGGCAGCTGGGGGACAGGGCGGTTTACGAGCCGGTGGCTATGGTGCCGTTGCAGAGACTTTGGGGGCAGTTGTGTCGGTGGGCAGAGCAGGCACGCCTGGCAGGGTTGCCGTCGCAGGTGTTAGACTTTATCCTGCAGCCACGCACTCCGTGTTTGGAGCGGGCTACCAGAGCTTGGGAGCGGTTTCGGGTGTGCAGATTCTACTTGCTACCGAAGCTGCACAAGACTCCAGTAGCCGGCAGGCCTATCTGCTCGTCCACGCTCTGGGTTTTTGAGCATGCATCGGCAGTCTTAGACCACTACCTCCGCCCTTTACTACGGTTTTCACCCTCGCACCTTCCAGACTCACTTGCACTTT